AACCTTCAAGCAGGGTGATTGAAACAGTGGCCGTAATAATGGAGTCAAAACTATCAACAATTATGAGAATAGTGCAGCATAGGAGAGTGTTTTGTTATATTGTGTAGAGTCACTATGTACAGCAATATTCAACCTTTCCTAAGAATAACTGAAAATGCTGGACGTAATGTCTGGAATATAAAGATATGTTGACATTTGAGATTCAAAGAATAATATAAAACCAAAGAAAACCCACTGCCATCAATTCTATTCTGACTCATAAAGACTCTACACTGGGTTCCTGGGGCTGTACATCTTTACAGTAGCAGATAGCCTCAGTTTTCTCAGTGTCACTATTGGATATGAACCATCAAACTGGAGGTTAGAGGCTCAAGGCTTATCCGACAGCACCCTCAAAGAACCACATGGCAGTGAGTTATTTCGCTTTTCTTTGAATCTCTGGTATATCCTGAATTTAGCATTGGAGAATATTGAAATGTAGAATTGAGGTCCTGTTCAGACTAAATAGTTTTGATACAAACATTCCTTCTTTAACCAAAGGCTCTGGGAAGGAGCACTCTTGAAATAGAAACTTGGTCAGTGGCTCAAGCCCACTAACTGTTCCATCAAATGACAATGAAACTGTTGATGTGTGTACTCATTTATAGTCCCGGAAATTTTACAGGGGGTTCCTATGACTTGAAGTCAATTTAATGGCAGTGGGCTTGGTGAAGCATGAATGAATTGGTCCAAATCTCGAAGATCACCATAGGAAGAGAAAACTCATTTCCTTTTCCTCTCCCATGATTATCAGAATCCTGAAGAGTTTGCACTTCTAACCTCAATCAGGGTAACAAGGCACCTATCCTCTTTCCATGGTGTCAGTGACAGCACGCGGGGAGCCTAGGTACGACTGCATTGTAGCGGTGGAGGTCTTTAAAGATGTCAGATTTAAATAATATTCATTTTGGGGGGAAAATAACATCCAAAAGTGCTGGATACATTTGAAAGCCACTCCTAGTCTCCAGAATTGGGAAAATCTCAAAAGAGGAAACACAACCAACAGATCGCCAACACTCAGATGACTTAGGCGTTGAAATTAGTTGACAACTTGGAAAGTTGAAGGGGGATGATGAACCTGAAAAATTAGGGCATGGTTAATTTTTAATTCATTGAAATTCATAAAATTGATTCAAGGCCACAAGCCAGTGAATCTGACAGCTGATGATAAAATTATGTGTATTTTCTAATTAAAATTTTAATATAAACAAATAAAGATCATCAGAGTTTTAGGTTCTGTGGGAAGAAAAAAGATTTGGAGTTCCATAAAAAAAGAAGAGTGTGACATTGAAAAATGAATATAAATGTAATAGCTAAGATTTTTCCAATTAGTCCTAAAACATACAATTGCACATTAGCTGAATGAACTACAGTCAAATGAAACCCACGGAAATTTACATCATGCTATCATAATAAAGTAATGAAAAAATAAAGGAAGAAAGAAGCTTGGACGCAGCTATAAAGGATGCAGAAGACTATCTGTTCTGTGAAAGATTTACAGTCTTTGAACATCCTCCATAAGATTGCAGTGAGTCACAATGAAGTGCCTGACAGTGGGGAATGAGACACAAGGATTCAAATGACAGTGGATTTTTCATCTGCAATCCATGGAGATTGGCATGTAGTGATCAAACATTTTTCAAGAAAGAAAAAAAAAAGAAAAGTCAACCACAAATGTGTACATAATGAACACCATCCTCCAGACCAGTGGAGTGGTACAGCCATTCTCTAAGGTCAAGCAAAAGAACTTGTCTCCAGCAAACCTACATTCAGTAAATAGTAAAACTAATTTCATACTACAACACAAAGAGAACTGAAAAATGAAAGAAAGGTAGAAAACAATGGGGGTGATTAAAAATCACAGGGGTAAATATAGTAGACAAATATTTAAGAACTGATATACTTTACCTTTGCACTGAGGTGGTTCTGTCCAGGTTCCATTCATGCACATCACTTCTACCTCTCCATAGAGTTTATAAGGTTTGTCACATTCATAACGTACTTTCTCTTCCGGTGGATACTTCATCATCGGTTTTGAGATCATCTTACCATTTTCAACCTTGGGAGGATTCTCACAGGAAACATCTTTCAAGAAAGACAGAGAGAGAGAGAGAGAGAGAGAGAGAGAAAAGACTGTCCATCTGTGTTCATTTTGAGTAGGAAATCAATAAAGAAGATTCCAAATATATTTCAAAAGAAGTTTAAAATCAGTAGACAATTTATAATAATGTTTGCTAATGTTAAGAAATGTATATGGAAGATTTAGGAAAATTAAGTTTAAAATGCTGTAACATGTAAATTTCAAAGCCTTAAATCTCTTCTCTATTTTTATTATAACACACAGTTTTTTCTTTCCTCTTGTAGCCTGTGAAAATGAGAGTTGTCCTGAAAGCTCATAGAATTACTAAAACAAATATTTACTATGAACCCAATATGAATTTAGAAAATGCCACAATGGCAATAATTTAATTATGCAACTGCAGGTATTTATTTGAAGTTACTTTGCTTATTAATAATGTTTTTAGCTCCGTAGAAACTGAATAGAATTAAGCATTTCTTTAAAGGACATGTCAAAAATTAAGAGCACACTTAAAAGTATGTTACAGTATAAAAAGACTTTAATTAAGTGAAATAATTCAAACGGGAGGTGCAAAATAATGATGAGGAAATGAAAAAGAAACCTATTCAATTTGGAATCCAAGGCTATAAACTATTATGGCTTTTGGATCCACCTGAATCTCTCCAAACAGTTATGCACTCGTATTATTACATTGTTAATCTATTTCAAATATAGAATTCTTTAAAGCAGTGGTTGTCAACCTACCTAATTACGTGACACTTAAAGTGTGTTAAACACAGTTCCTCATGTTGTGGTGACCCTCCATCATAAAATTATTTTTGTTGCTACTTCATAACTGTAATTTTGCTATTGTTATGAATTGGGAAACCCCTGTGAAAGGGTCGTTTGACCCCCAAAGGGATCAAGACCCACAGGTTGAAAACCGCTGCTTTAAAGAGTTCCAGGTCAATGCAAAGCAATAGTAGGTTAGTCTTGAATCCCAAAATGAAGTGTAGCTGCAGCAGTGTGCAACCTCACCAATTATTTCATGTGTCTAACCTTAGTCTCCTCTCCTGTCTGTGAACCGCTTGGCTGATGTGTTAATGTTTCTTTGATTATTGTCAAATAATTGTCAACAGTACCTTTGTGTAGAAACCTGTCATGAATTGCAGGCTACGTGACAGGGAGTGTATACAAACCTGTATACAAACCCTGGACTGTCTATGCTAACAGGGACCCTAACTCCTCAACTGCGTCTATCCTTTTATCTCATCTATGTTTTCTCAGTGCAGATCATGGCCCCCTTGAACCTGTTCGATTTATAACATAAGAGCTGGACTCCTTAATCTTATAATCTATAAGATTTACCAAATTTATTTCAGGGTCCCTTATCCAAATTTGTTTTTATTTAATAGGTCTAGGGTGGACCCTTAGGTCTATATGTCTTAGCAATTTTCCAGAAAACATTGATGCTGCTATATCAGTGGCCACTCTGTCTGAACCACTGGGCTAAAAGGCTAACCGTTGTCTACATGATGCATACCCTTAAACTACGCCCATTTGTTCAAGGTGCCAAAAAAAAGAGGGGTTTTATTGTCTAACGTATCATTTTTAGTAAATTTAAGATTTAACCAAAGTACCTTTACATGTAGGAGTTCCTATCCATTTACTCTTGATACACTTTACAATATTTGACCCATCTAATTGGAAACTCTTTTCACATTCATATTCGACTTGTTCTCCTGACTTATATGACTCCTTTACAGTGCTTTTGAGTACAGCATGAGGAAATGTGGGTACTTGAAAGCAATCTGTAACTGAAAGAAATGGAATAAGGATTTCAGCAAATCTTTTAAGATGTATAATATTCAATATTTATCACCTAAAATAACTAGCATCTGATTATACCATTAAACACTGTACAGTCTTTTTCTTTCAACTTGACCAAGTGAATTCTATACAGTCTTGATGTAAACACATTCCATTGTTCTACATCTATCAAAGTCATGGTTGGGATGTTCATAGTGGAGACTGCTGGATAAGTGTAGACACAATGATTGGGGATCATATTTCTTTTTACATTCAAATTTGTTCTTGCCCTGTTGTAGTCACTTGTATCCCGTATTCCTGTCTATGGATATTTTAGTTCTGTTTCTGTTAAAATGTAACTTATGGGAAATTAAAATAGTATAGGAAATTTTATGTTTATAAGGAGATCATCGAAAAGCTGACAGCAAAGTGGGGAATGATTAGATAGATGAGGAAAGGTTCCTTGGCATCAGAAGCAGAGTTAAAACGTCTAAAAATAAAGACTTGGTGCTGGAAAGATAAGAGAGGATGATTTTAAAAGGTCATAATTTGTCTCATGTTGCCAAACTTTTCTTATTCCTAAGGCTAAAATTCTCCACCAGTACACAGCATAATTTCACAAAGGTAAATTGCTAAATTCTACAATTACTGCATATTTGCTTAGATGTACCATCTCTGCTTTGAATAAAATATATTTTTAATTAATGGAATACAATTAAATTTATACTTTTGCAATCTGGTGGAGTAGGCCATTTTCCTCCAAAGCATTTTATAGATTCAGGTCCATCAATCCCAAAACCATCAGAACAGATGTAGGTAACTTCCTCTCCATGTTGGTAGCTGTCTAACTCAGGAGACAGAGAACTCTGAGGTCTCCCCGGAGGTGGCTCACAAGGCAGTCCTGCAAAAGCAAGAAAGAATGCATTCATTTTCACTTCTGAAATTTAATTTTATGTATAGTGTGTTCTATTTAGTCATTTTAAGTATTTGAAAAGAAATTAAAACATAGGAGTTAACTATCACATCACGAAATACACACAGAAACAATTTCTAATGCCATGACTCTGTGGTCTTTCATAACAAGCCTAAAAACGTGAGCTGGAATGTTGGTGCACTTATGAACAATATGAACAGTATAGTTAATGCTTCTCTGCCAGACATGAATGATTAAAGGAAATAAAGTAAGCATGAATGATACTTCAAAACACACCATTAGGTTACAATAAATCAGAAGGAACATTGGAGGAGAAACATTACGTTTTTTTTAAGTGAAACCACTGGTTGATAAATCAAACACTAAAACTTCTCTAGACAAGGTGGTTGAAGTACACGATGTTGTATGTTTCAAGAAAAAAACAAATGCCAGAGTTTAAAGTGATTCTATATTGAGATTAAATATGTTTATCTTGTGTGTGCAATAGGTACTTTACTAGTAAGGTAGATGAAGAATTGTATAAATACGTCTAAAGTAAATTTCCTTATGCCTTTGATTAGGACTGATTATTTATAGTAAACTACTCCCAAAGCAGAATTTGACTCGTCATATGCCCTCACCTACACACTGTGGTGGAGAACTCCATTTTCCCATGTGGCATGTGATTCCCTTTTCTTCAGAGAGCTTGAACCCTTCTTCACAGGTATAACGTAATGTAGTGCCGTGTGAGTACCTGGATTCAGAGGGCTCTTTCCTTTCTTCGGAAGATCTAGGTGAGTTAATTGTTCCATGTTCAATATGAGAAGGTGGGTTACATGGGGTTTTTTCTGTATGAATAACAGAGATCAAAACAAGAGAGGACAAATATAAAGTCTAAAGTGAAGAATCAAATAAAAACTTATTTGAAATGTTCAGATAAAGATAATTGATATTGATATTATTGTTTTAACAACTAAGAAATATCTGGATCTTGCAAGGATCTAAATCATCACAATGTCTATATACTACTATCATCTCGGTATATATCCTCCTTCTTGGCCTGTTTACCCATGCAAAATGAAATGATAACAAAAGCATTGTGTGGTATACAAAAAATAATACTGTCTTCTTATTGCATTTACCTCATATCTAAGTGAAATAATGATGATTGATTTGGGCCCATAATTATCTGCTTTGTTAAGTAAAGTGCCCTAGACATAAAGAAAACTCTTCATCTTCTTCAATTATGCAAAGCACAGTAGACTGCTTATCCCACTTTGGAAACAAGTGATGAACTACTGACCAACACAGCGAGGAATAGACTGCCATTTTCCATCTGTGCACACGATCTCATCTGCTCCCACGATCAAGTAATTTTCTTCACAAAGAATAGACACTGTTTCTCCATTCTGATAATTCACTGTCGTTGTCATAGTTTGAGCATTGGGAATGAGAGGAGGAGGTGGGCATACCTGTGTTTTTTCTTCTAAAAATATTGAAATTGGATTATTTTATTATAAAGTCATAATTTGAATAGAAAATGATAATTTTAACACTTAGAATATGAAATATGAATGTATCATAAATGAACACAGAAAACTTCTTATGCTCTTTGGTAGTATGTGTAGTATTTGTGCTCTATTAACACCTTAAGATCATCACTTTTGACTTATACTTTTGTATTTTTGCCTCTAGTTTCTTCCTTTTATTCTTTCTGTGATAGACTATCAGGTAGTCATTTGTACAGATTTTGCATGAGTACAATAAAGTGTTCTGGAATTCCTTTTCCTTGGATGCTGTCCACAGTTTGTTTACTTCTCAAACTCTGAATAGCTTTCCATGGTCAATGGGACTCAAGTAACATCTTTCTGGTTTTCTCTGTTTCCATACAAGATCCATCGGATTTCAGAAAAGATAGGCCTTATCCAGATTCTTTTCTGAACCTGGCTTGCCGCTCTGACAGCTCCCTATCAACATGTCACTGCAACTTTGAATGCTCGTCATCAACATTTTACCTACCTAAGATATTTTTAAATACTGTCTGTATTCTGTTGGGTCACCTTTCTTTGGAGTGGCCATAAACATGGATCTCTTCCAGTCCACTGTTCACGTAGCAGCTTTCCACATAGTTGAGCTTATTGACCCAATGCCCCAAGTGTTGCATCTGTTTCTTTAAGCAGTGAATTTGGTATTTAGTCAATTATGGGGTTCTTGTTTTTTTTTTCTTAAGGAATCAAGTAATATTAATGTGCAGTGAAGTCATGTGTTTGTCTGCATTCTCTTCTAGAAGCTTCACAGTCCCGTCATTTGTTTCTAAGGCATCATCTAATGTTGCTCTCTGCTCGGAGTGGCCAGTGGGGATTGCTGTTCTTTTTCAATATTGAAAAGCAGCTGTCTTAAAAATATGTGTAGAAAATACTTTGAAATGAAAAGCAATTGAATGTACTTGTTCTTGTTTATCCTGTACTCTTTATTGGGCTTATCTTCCGGTGTAGTACTTATGCACTGGGGTGCTAACTGCAAAGCCTGCAGTTCAAATCCACCAGCCACTGCGTGGGAGACAGATGCGGCTTTTACTCCATGGTAGAGTTAGTGTCTTGAAGTTGTGTTATTTCTTTTCCTGTTTTTTTGATATATGATACCCAGGATTGGAAAACCTATAGGGGCATCAAGTAGAAAACGTTTTCCTGAGAGGGGAGGGGGGAACAAAGGTGGGAGTGAGGGGTAAAAGTGAGATGATTTTGAGGTTTCCAGGAAGAAAAAGAATGTTTGGAAACTTATTGTGGTAGCAGTTGTGAAATTTTCCTTGACATGATTGAACTATGAAATAATATGATATATGTATTAACTCCCAATTATTAATAATTTTTTAAATACCCAGCTTCACAATTTACTGTGAAGCTACTGTGATCAGTATAATTTGTGCATAAGGATATATGAAGAAATAAGTTAACTGAAATGAGTCCATAAATAAACCATTACTATTGTATTCAATTTATTTTATTTTCAAAAATTTTCCCACAACTGACTAATCATACAAAAAAGAACATCCATCTCTACTTGTCAATTTCCTTAAAGAGCAGTATAAGACAGTATACATAAATACAAATGGCAAAACTGTAAAACTTCTGCCCTAAAATATAGTGAATTGTGCACTTGACTGCATATAAATATTATCGGTTTCTTTAAACAAATAAGTATAAACATGTTGAACTCTAGATAGTAGGTTTGTATTAGGATTGGTGTGAAACCACTATCTGTATATGAGGGCGTACCACCCCCAAATGGAATTTTTTTCGAAGCTATTTATTTTACTTTTTTATAAACTAAGCTTATTAACTTCAAAGTCCTCTCCATTAAACTTAATAACCCTAACCAAAGGAGCTTTTCCCCCTTCTTGAAGGGGGTCCCCCTCGTATGTGAGATTTACAAATCCAGGTAAGAGTGTTGAGGACAAAAGGACGAGGGCTCCTGAATTTGGAGAAGAGAACCGCAGATAAGCAAGGGGGTAAGATGGACTAACTCTTCTATGCCGTTGATGAAAGCACAGGAGTGTCAGGGGACAACGGTCACAAGTGAACTTAGTGGCCAGATAGTAACGTGAGGCTTTCAGTTCTGTTCCGCTTGTTTCATAGTCAACTAACGAAAATTACTTGTGGTAATTACTTAGAATAGGGTTCTGATTAGTTTCTCAATTATCCTGCAAATCGAAACACTTTTGTTACAATATATGAATCAATATCTACTTTAACGTTAGAAAGGTTGCACTTGTATAAGTTAAGAGGAAAGAAAATCCATTTTTTAAAGCTTTATACCCAAGTCCTTACCTGCACAAGTTATCTTGGGATCCCACACTCCATTTATACATATTGATTTTTTATTTGATTTTCCTTTACATCTGTAACTTAAGGTTTCATTATGATTGAAGGCAGTCTGATCTGATGAGGTGAATTCAAATTTACGTTGACCTGGGTTTCTACACTTCTTCAGTTGTTCTGTTTCTATGCAAACAAAATTTTTCTATGAAAAACTGATTAAAAAGAAATAAGCAAGTATTATGTACTATAGCTACAGAAAAATAAAGGGATAATGAAATAATGGTGTATATATATTCCATTCAATCAAGCTAGTTAGTCCTCATCATACTATATGAAATGAGTTATTATGTATAAACATAGTTCCTCATCCATTTTTAGAAATATATGAGCATATATTTATCATCAAGATATATTTCATTTAGGGGGTTGGAAGGATCTAAAGGATTCACTTTTTTGGATGGTGTATATATTGAACAATGTGCTAACATAAACTTTATTGTCTCGGCTCTTTTATCCATGTCTTTGTAATTCCTAGGTATCCAAGTGCCTCAGTGGTTGAGCGTTGGGCTGCAATCCATAGGATCAGCAGTTAGACAACCAGCCTGTCAGTAGGAGACGGAGGGGGCTTTCTACAGTTCTACACTCCCCTCTGGGGTGGAGATAAATCGCCATCAACTTGTTTGCAGGGAGTTTCTTTCTGTTTTTTTGGAGTTCCCACCAAATGAGCAGGTGGGACCATGCAATTACGGGGTGTGAAGCACTAACAGAGGGATTAGTGAGTGTAAGACTCAGGGATCTTAGAAGCAGAAGGGTAGCATTTCCAGGGCCTCAAGGAAGAAGTTACCAGAGCAATACATTGCAATCACTGCCTGATGGGGTGGAGGCCATGCTAAGAACAGAAGGACCAGAGTAGAGGAGTCAACGTGTCACTGAGACCATGGGACAGGGGGACAGAGCAGTGACAGGGAGGCTTCCTGGCCCACCCAGATCTCTGTCTTATGGAAACTGGTGGAGGTTTGGATTCTCCTTATCCACTGTGTGGCCAAAGGAGGTCACATGTAGCCCGCACACTGATTTAGCAACTAGCCTGCAAGCTGCTGTAGTCTCACACTGAAATATGAACAGACACACAAATATTTTTCACAGTTTTCCAGATGCATTATCTTATTTTTCATTGACACGCTTATATCATCAAAAATAAATGATTCCTAGGATAAAAGATGTAGCTAATTTAAAAGAAAATGTTTTCAGAAATGTAGTAGAAGAATATTGAAAAGTTAAGATGTACAGAATTTGAACATTGAACAACTTTTTTTGAGATGACCAGGAAAACAGAGATGGGCATGTGGACTAACAAATCACTAATTGATGTCATAAAAATATTAGGATTTGGGGGAGCTCTTCTATATTGCAGACAGTTCTGTAATCCAATTATAATTCAATGTCATTATAATTAATCTTTCCCACCCAAATGGTTAATATATAAACTTTCAGATATAGCTTTATATTTTAATAATTCTATGATTATGGCAGTATTTTTCTGCCTTTGATAAAAAGGCAATGTTAGTATTTGATCGCATTTGTTATTAATGGTTAAAAAAGCAGAGTTGGTTGAGGCCCAACAGTAAAAGGAAAAGGTAAAAAACTGGGCACAGAAAGGTGGTGGTTTTGTAAATGCAACCAATGTGGACCAATCAAAGAGGACAAATACGAAGCTGGATCAGGAAGAATGGGCAGTGGCTCTAGTCTGAAAGTGTTCAGTAGAAATGTAACAATTAATGAGCAATGAAAAGAGCCTGATGGAAAATACATTAGAGACTTCAGAGAAAGTCAATCCCAGTTTGTGAAAGGAGTGACCTACCAACTGCTCAGAAGAGTTAGTACTGGAGACACTCTTTGTAGAAGGTGCTCTTGAGGGGGAGAAACTTCAAGGGAATCTGCAGTTAAGAGGAGCTGTTATAACTGATATGCGATTCGTGGATGTGTGAGGTGGATGTTTAAGATAAACAAAATGAACAAATCTGGAGGAGTGAAGGTTCCAGACTAGAAGGAGGGCTCAAAGTCAATGTTGAGCAGGGACAATTGGACGAATGAGGAGCCTTGGTGGCACAGCTGCTAAGCGCTGGGCTGCTAATGAAAGCGTGTTTCTCCAAACTCGCCAGCTGCCAGCCACTCCACGGAGAAAGAGGTGATAACCTGCTTCTGCAAAGATGATCACCTTCGTGCCATTGCCACTCAAAAGTAATCCATTTTGGGTTTTGGGTTTTTCAGGAGTGCTCTGATAGAGGAAGGCCATTATACTAGGTGAGCATGTGTTGAGAAACAAGTAGTAAGGTAGCTCTGCGTTCAGAGGGAGTCATCAATGATGCTAAGCTTTTGTTTAGGTTACAAGGAAAAGCTGATCATTCTCACGCCTGATAGATACTATCTTGAGTTACTCTCCATGTGAATGGAGGCAAAATCATCTGTGGACAAATCAAAGAGGACAAATGAGGAGTTAGATCAGGAAGAATTGGCCCTGGCAGTTGTAAAAGTGCACTTAGGCAAAATGTAAGAATTAATCAGCAGCCGAATTACAATTTCATTTCACAAACGCACAGAATGTCCCTTGTCCATCAGCCAGGCCTTGCATCGTAGGCAATGCAGCAGTGAGCAAAACAGGTTGAGTTTCTGCTCGCCTGGAGCCTGATCCTCAGCTCCACATTTGACAGGAATTACGGGTCATTAACTTCTAGAAATCTGAGGATGACATAACCACGTGTATCTAGAAAACTGAATGGAAGAATCAAGAAAATTTTTTACAAAACTCCGTTAATGGAAATATGAATCAGGGCCCTTATCCTCCCAGGTGGTCTTGGAAGGTCAGGATGAATCACTTGCACAAGGAAACTCAGGAGGGCACTTTGCTTCCTGACATAAGTCCTCAGTTAGTCATGCGTCTGAAGTCATATTATGACTGAGAGGGCCTGCGGCCACCACACTGCTGCGCACTCCCTGCTTTCTGCTGCATTTGGAACAGGCTGAGAAATGAACCTTGTTGGAACCTTGGAGAGAGGCACGAGGAGTACAATGGGTATATTTTCTCCATTCGAATGAGGTTGATGATCACAATACCGGCAGTTATGCAAAATACTTCCATATTAATTGTTCTTTTGACTCTTATTTTATATCATATGCCAGTTTATATGTAAATCTAGTTTCACGCTTAGAAAATTGCTACATTGGTATAAGAATCATAACATTTTGTTGCAAGTTTGTCCATTTTGCCCTGTGGATTGTGCTATAAGGAAGAAATGATTTGATTTTTATACCATAAGGCCTGCCATTTTTTAGCTGAGTCTCTCTATACAATTTTAGAGTAACTCTTTTAAATAACATTAAATAACAATTTGAAAACTATGTTCTCACCAATGCACTGAGGCAGCTGAGTCCACTTTCCACGATCACATGTGACTGATGCGTCTCCAACCATGGAAAATGACTCTGAGCACTTGAATTTCACTGAATATCCGTGGTGATAGGGAGGGTCAGAGGGCAAGTCATAGCCATGCTCAAGTGTCGGTATGTTTTCACATGTGCGCTGCTCCTCTATGAAATGTGGCACAATAACTTTAATTGAAAGCAGTATTTGTCTTATATGAATATTAATATAAAATTGGATATTCACATTGACACGTTCATGTTGTATGTACATTACCAACGCAAGTAGGCAGAGTTGTCCAATCTCCGTCCACACACTGAATTTTCTGAGCCCCCTTCATTAAGAACCGAGGTGTGCAGTCATATTCCACCACTTCACCATGCTCATACTCTTCTTTCTCTCTCTGCTTAGCTGCCCCGTTGGGGAGGGGAGGCGGAGGGCCACAAGATTCTACTTCTCCTGCAGCACAAACATTGTTTAAGCAATGCTGAAGCCGCTCATCTTACAATAACATGTAGGCAAAGGGGAGACATATATTCTTTTCTATTTATCTTACTTCAACATTCTCAGGCAATGAAAAAGGAAGAGCCTTTACCCCAAATGCTATTTGCTAATTGTTTCTTCAAAGGGAGCAAAAGTCCAGGTGGCTCAGTGGCTTGGTGCTGAGAACTTAATGAAATGTCACCAATTCTCACCCTCCGCGGCTCTGACACAGAATGACGCGGCAATCTGTCTCCATACGGGTCTCAGCCTCAGAAAGCAGGAAGAAGAGCTCCTCTCTGCCTGGCAGGGTCGCTGTGCGTCAGCAACATGTGGTTGTGCTCGGCATTGCCAGTGAGCTGAATGCAACTCATTGCGACCGAAGGAGGAGGTTTTGTTGTTGTTGTTGTTCGCTTTTTTATATGGAACTAGTTGGATGTTGGTATCGTTAAGGCTTGAAATTAAATTATTATGTGCAATAAGCTGGAGAGTTAGAGATGTGTACACTTTAGCAAATATAGTTATATATTAAAGTCATATGCATACTCCAGGGAAGCTCTTTTTCAAAATTTGTTTTAAAAAATACTATCATTTGCAACCATTTTCAAATAACATGTTTTACCTTTGATTAAGCTATTCATGTGATTGAGTTAACTTTAAGCTATCTGAGCTTATTTATGCAAGCAAAATGAAAATGTAATTAACGACCTTCAGTATAATACTTTCAACATTAACGGTAGTATAGTAGTACAGATAAGGGAACAGAAACAATAATCTCTCTTCTAAGCTTCTGTAAGTGTATATCTGAATACACCAGCAACAATTGGAGAGGTATGCAGCTGAGCTCTTTCCCACTCAACTCATAGTATCTCTGGTTTAATGTGTTAGATTAGCGATTATCTAAAAGGCCACAAAATATGAAAAATAGAAGAGGAAATAATATCCAAAATTTTAGTTATTGTGGTGTCAGTGCTAGGATAGTCAGTCACCTTTACATGTTGGTGGTTGAGGGGACCATCCAAAGTGGTAACACTGAATTGAATCTGGTCCAATTATTCTTAATTTCTGTCTACAGGTGAACTTCAGGACATCTCCAACTTTATACTTGGCTTTGTTAGGTGAAGCTATTAAGTCTTGTGGTATTTTAGGAACACTGCATTCTCTCTCTAAAATATAAAATAAGATATATTACTGAGAACATAAAATTTACCATTTCCAAATAAACTTCATAAATGTCATGCATTAATGAAAACACACACAGAGAAGCATTATAGAAATCCTTTTCTTTGAAAAAGATCATTTCACTTTTGAAAACCCTATAAATTCAAGTTGAGCTCTGTGAGATATTACGCTATTGAAGAGCAATATGTGTGTCCTGAAAATATAGATGTAAAGTCAACCAGCTTGCTTAGACCGCCTCTCATTACTAGCATTAATAATATTTAAAGTTATTAATTTTAGTCTAAAAATAGAATTACTTTCTCAAATTAAGAGTATAATGTTACGTTTTTCAGCTGTACATTTAATAAATTGGGTTTTTTGTTTACCATAATTAACCCATTTCTGCCAAATCAATTCTGACTGATAGCACCTCCATAAAACACAATAGATTTTCCCCTTGGATTTCATTAATCAGGCCCCTGCCTCTTACTACTGCAACGCAGCTGGTGGTGTTTGAAGTGCTATCTCCAGTTCATCCCCAAATCCTTAATCACTGCACAATTGGAGCTCTTTTTGATCTAACTGGAAACCATGTGCATGCAAGAAGGAAAGGTTTAAGGTATATTTTAAAGTAAGGATCATTAAAAATCAAAAAATATAAATATCTACCAATTAAGAAAACAAATACTCATCAATTAATAAAATTGACATTACAATTTATGATAATATCTTCTGGAAAGTGATTTTAAGAATAATTTGAATGGGCCTAAGCTGTATAATAGATAAGTGTTTTTGTCTCAAATTCAAAATACATTCAAGCGTATAGCTGTAAATATCAACTTTTAAATCCTAAATATACATTTTTAACACAGTTGTAAACACATATTTTGAGCTTGGAGAGCAAAAGGAAGACGCACAGGGCAGATCAGGACTAGAAGGTGGGTGTGGTCAGCTTGTCCTGCTACAGTCACATGAGACGGCCCTTCTTGTCCGTGAACAATGAACAGGTGCATTGTGGTGGAGGAGCAGAATCCCCACCAATGTAGTCTGCGACTCCTTAAACATCTTCCCCGTAAATCCTTACGATTGTCCTATGTCCTAGCCTACATCTATCAGTGCACACAGTCACCTACCTGGGCCAGTTGTCTTTACCTTCTGCTCAGACATCTCTGCCTTGAATGCCAGCAGGTCCTCTCCAAAACTATTGATTTGACTAGACTTGGTAAGGAGTGATCCTAATGACACTCAGAGAAGTGTGTTATTGAGAGAGCTTGCTTACAGCCACACTCTGATCACAGAGATGTGTCCAAGCATAACTCATTTGGACTAAACCTGTGTCTGTGTGACCTGTAACCCTAATAACAATAATTTATGACTTCTTTCTAAATAACCAACTTTCCAGTTTACTACCACAATCTGCCTGCCCAGTAATGCACGAATAGACATTGGTAATTTGAGGAAGGGCAACAATTCTCCTTCAGAATCTGTTCGTATTGGTTGCTGTTTGCTTGGTATAAATACTAATAATGATTCTCATTTTGCCAACACTGTGTCAGTATCTCATGTGCCCAACTCATTGACAGATGAGAGTAGCACCCATGG